TCCTCCTCCCCACATCAACACCATCCTCCTTAGTTCCCCTTCCCTGCATCCCCCAATGCACCAACTCCCCACACTCCCCACGTCTCCCGCTCCGCTCCCATATCTCCTCCACAACCTGAAATCTCCCACTTCTCGTTATCTTCTTTGGCTCCCCTTCTTCTGCATCAATTGAGTTATTTCGTTCTGAAGAAGTGTCAATGGACTTGAAATGTTAACTCTGTTTCTCTGCCCACATATCCTGCCAGACTTGCTGAGTTTCTCCTGGACTTAGTGTTTGTTTCAGATCTCCAGCGACTTCAGTTCTTTGATTTATTTTATTTGAGTTACATTGCTGTCTGCAGAGATGATGTTTTGAATTTTAGCTTTTCTTAAATCTTTGCTTTTTTTCAAGCAGAAATAATGCTGATATCTGGAACCCATGTCGAACGTCTATGAAGAGAGGGTAACGATGATTGCAGCAGGGGAAATGCAGGAGTTTGTTCCGTTCGGCCGTGACCACTGCAGGCGCCACCCTAATGCCACAAATCTTCAGCTTCGGCAGCTGCAGCCTGCTTCAGAACTGTGGTCCTCTGATGGTGACGCAGGATTGGTGGGATCACTGAGAGAAGTTACAATCCATGAGAAACAGAAGGTGCAGGTTTGAAAATCTCATCTGAAATAATCAGTAACTTCTAAAATGAAGAACTGACATGTTCTGCAGTAGGTTGCCAAAGACTTTATTATAAAGATTTTGAATCTGTACAAGGTATTGGTACAATTTCCAAGTTACAGTTGGACTTGTACATGTGAACTTTGGGGATTATCAAAAGGATATTGGGTGGGAAAATGACTAGAAATAAATTATATCGCCTCTTTCACAACTTCAGTGCCCCACATCATTGTACACCCAATGCCATCTTGCTATGTAGGAATTATTGCATCCAATGTACAAACAAGATTTCACAAACATGGTCAGATAATCGTAGAAGGTCATAGAATCCCTACAGTGTGGAAACAGGCCCTTCAGCCCAACAAGTCTACACCGACCCTCTGAGCACCCACCCAAATGCATCCCCCTATAACCCACCTAATCTGCGCATCCCTGAACACTACAGGCAATTTAGCATGGCCAATCCACCTAACCTGCACATCTTTGGACTGTGGGAGGAAACCGGAGCGCCCAGAGGAAACCCACGCAGACACGGGGAGAATGTGCAAACTCCACACAGACAGTCGCCTGAGGCTGGAATTGAACCCGGGTCCCTGGTGCTGTGAGGCTGGTTTAGCAACATTGGCTGAGGGATAAATGTTGGCCAGGAAATCTGGGAGAACTGTCCTGCTCCCCTCAGAAGAGTCACAAGGTCTTTTGTGTGCACCTGAGAGAGTGCCTCGGTTTAACATCTCATCGGACTACTCAGACCTTGGATGGTCCAGCATTTCCTCAGTACTGTGCTGAAGTGCCATCAACAATTTGTGTACAACTTGCTGGAGTGGGTTTGAATTCTCAATCTTCTGACTCAAAATGTGCCAGTACTAATCCACGGCTGAAGTGCATCTGAGGCTTCAGTGCCCCAAGAATAATAGATAATAACACAAAAATAGGTGGAAAGGCAAGTTTCAGGAGAGACTCAGACATTTTACAAAGAGATATTTATAGATTAAGTGGGCAAGAAATTGTAATGGAGTATATTGTAGGAAAATGTGAAGTTGGAAGGAAGAACAAAAGAACAGTATTATATCGTTGGAGAAAACTGCAAAAAGCTGGAAAGCAAAGGGACTTGAGGATACTTGTGCACACAACACACAAAACTAGCACCAGGTGCAGCAGGTAATCGGGAAGGGAAATGGAATGTTGGCCCTTACTTCAAAAGGGCTGGGATGTGAGAGTAGGGAAGTCTTTTTTGCAGCTGAACAAGGTGCTAATGAGACCCCATCTGGAGTACTGAGAGCAGTTTTGGTTCCCTTATTTAAGAGAAGATACCATTTCATTGGAGGAATTTCAGAGAAGGTTCACAAGGATGATCCCCAGCACAGAGGAATTGTCTTATGAGCAAAGATCAAACAGGTTGGGAATCTACTCGCTGGAGTTTGGAAAAATGAGAGAAGATCACGTTGAAATCAATATGAATTTTTAAGAGCTTGGGAGGGTAAATGCTGAGAGGGTGTTTCCTCTCATTGGAGAGTCTCAGACCAGAGGGCATAGTCTGGGAATAAAGGGGTGCCGATTTAAGACTGAGCTGAGGAGGAATTTCTTCTCTGAGGGTTGAGAGTCTTCGGAACGCCTTGCTACAGAGAGCTGTGAGGGCAGAGTCTTTGTGCATATTTAAGGCAGAGATAGGTTGTTAATCAGTCGGGCAATCCAGGGTTACAGGAAAATGGAAGTGAGGGACGTTGAATCAGCCACAATCCTGTTGAATGGCACAGCAGGTTTGAGGGGCTGAATGGCCTACTTCTGAGGGGAGAGTATAAAAGAAGTTCAGAATTTTGAAAGCATATCCAAGAGTTGACCACATTTTGCCCTGATACATTCAACTGGATGTGACTGTTATTGCCTATTCTTGAATAACTTGTAATGACTCCTTCCCAGGTTAGCACTGTTACCTTACAGCCTTACCGGCACCTGAGTTCAAATCCAACCTCGGACGACTGTCTATCTGGAGTTTGCACGTTCTCCCTGTGCCTGTATGGGTTCCTCTGGGTGCTCCGGTTTCCTCCCACAGTCCAAAGATGTGCAGGTTAGGTGGATTGGCCATGCTAAACTGCCCTGTACTGTCCAGGGGTGTGTAGCCTAAGTCGATTAGCCATGGGAAATGCAGGGTTATAGTGGAGGGTAGGTTGTGGGAGGATGCTCTTTGGAGGGTTGGTGTGAGCTCGATGGGCTGAATGGCCTTTATCTGCGCTGTATGGATTCCATGATTCTTCTTGCTCCTGCACCATTAACCTGGCAATAGGCCAAATGTCTCACCTTGGCCCCCTTCATATTTTACATCTACATGCAACTCCATGGTTGTGTGTGTGGCTTTGCCTCACCACCAGCTCCCTGGACCCTGTCACTACTATTTGACACCCAGTACACTATCAGCAGAAATTTCCTCCAATTCAATGGTGGCAAGACTGAGGCTGTTATTTTCTGTTCTTAGCACAAACTTCACTTCCTGGTAACCAACTCTATCCCTCTTCCTGGAAACTGTCTGAGACTGACCTGAACTCTTTCCAAACTTGGTGTCTTTTTTTATTCTTTTAAGGGGTGTCTGGCCAGGTCAGTCTTTATTGCGCATCCCTAATTGTTCTTGAGAAGGTGGTAGCGAGCTGCTTCCTTGAACTCCTGTTACTGTAGGTACACCCTGCTGTTTATGAGGCAGTTCCAGGATTTATCTTCGTCATATTGAAGGAATGGTAATATTCCAAGTTTGGATGGTGTGTTGGTTGGAGGGGAGTTTTTGGATGATGATCCTATCATCATTCTGCTACCTTTGTCCTTTGAGTTGGTAAAGGTTGTTGGTTTAGCAGATGCTGTGGAAGGAATTACTGTAATATGTCATACAGTGCTGCCACCGTGTGGCAGTGCTAGTTAGAGCGAATATTTGTCCCCGAGCTGAGCTTGACCACATATCTGTAACCATTAGCAAGATTATATACCTCCTCCTCTGTAACATCACCCAGATACTGCCCTGGTGCAGCTCAAGCCCTCCCTGAAGGTTTCAAATAGTTCCTTTGCTCCCACTAGATGTGACTATTTCCCCTCCCCTCCCCCCCACCCCGCTATCGTGCTTACTGATCTGAATTGACCCCACTACCAGGCAAAAACCTTGATTTGAACACTTTTTCATCCTCCTTTTGAAATTGTTCACTCCTCCCCTTTCTCTCATCTCCCGCTCTAAACTGAGATTATTGGGGGAGGTGGGGTTGTGCAGCAGGAAAGGGAGGTTTTGACTATAATCAGATCAGACATGATCTTAATGAATGGTGAAGCAGGCTTGTTGGGCTACACCGCAAAGGAAAATATGAAATAGTAGCACACGTTTTGGCCCATTAAACCAACACTGCTGTTTCACCATATTTAGGCTTGGACTAGAACGTGGCAAGTAACAAGTATGCCACGCAACTGCAAGGCAGCTTTCCTCTCCAACAAGAGGGCATATCCCAATGACTCCTGAATCTTCCACTGCCAACATCCTGGGAGTTATCATTGACCAAAGACTGATCTGGACCAGCCACATAAATATTATGGAGACATGTCAACGTAGAAGGACAGAAAGTAGGAGCAAGAGTTGGCCTTTCTCCTCTTTGAGCCTGCTCTGCTGTTCAATATGATATGGCTGTTTATCCAACTTTGTACCCTGTTACCACTTTTGCCTCATTCTTTGATCCCTTTAGCCCTGAGGACTATTATCTAACTCCGAATTGAAAACGTGCAACGTTTTGGCCTCAAATGCTTTCTGTGGCAGAGAATTCCACCACTCTCTGGGTGGAATAAATTCTCCTCATCTCAGTCTTGAATGGTTCCCCCCATGTCCTTAGACTGTGACCCCTGGTTCTGGACTCTCCAGTCTTCAGGGGAATATCCTTCCTGCATTAACCCTGTTCAGTCCTGTTAGAATTTTATAGATTTCCATGAGATACACCCCTCACTGTTCTTAACTCCAATGAATGTAGTCCTAACTGAACCAATCTCTCTTTATAAGTCAGTCCTGCCACCTCAAGAATCAGTCTTGCACTCCCTCCATAGCCAGAACATCCATCCTGGGGAGAAAGTGGGAGTATGGTGCTGAGCTAGAGGATCAGCCACAATCCAATTGAATGTAGAGCAGGTTCGAAGGTTTAAATGGCCTACTCTTGCACCCCATTTCCATGTTTGCATGATTCTCTCAACTCGCATCTTGATTATTTTATGTAATTAGCAAACTTGGACATGTTGCCTTTGACCTGCTGCAATATTTAATAATGATATACCTTTGCACCTCTGCAATTCCATCCTATTGCATATATGGCACTTTAGTAGTTCCACCATAAATAACCTTTAGCTACCTAGACTCTGGCATTCCCTTTCTAAACCTTTTCTGCCTTTCAGTACCTTTCTCCCCTTATTTAAGTGATCCCTGAAGCTTTGACCAAACTTTTAATCTTCAGACTTAATATCTCTTTATGTGGCTTGGAGTTGAGTTTTGTTTGAAAACGTTTCTTCAAAAGACCTTGGCAGGTTTTGCTACATAATAGGCATGAGATAATGCAAGTTGTCGCGCATGGGCCCAAGCTATGCCTGCCTCTTTGTAGGTTACGTGGAACAATCCCTCTTCCGTACCTACACTGGCCGTAAACCCCACCTCTTCCTCCGTCACATTGATGACTGTATTGGCGCCACCTCGTGCTCCCACAAGGAGCTCGAACAGTTTATCCACTTCACCAACACCTTCCAACCCATCCTTAAGTTCACCTGGACCATCTCTAACACCTCTCTCTCCTTCCTGGACCTCTCTGTCTCCATCTCCGGCAACCACCTAGAAACCGATATCCATTTCGAGCCCACCGACTCCCACAGCTACCTAGAATACACCTCCTCCCACCCACCTGCCTACAAAAATACCATTCCCTATTCCCAATTCCTTCGCCTCCGCCTCCGCCGCATCTGCTCCGAGGATGAGGCATTCCACTCCCGAACATCTCAGATGTCCTCGTTTATCAAGGACCGCAACTTCCCCCACTCAGTGGCCGAGAGCACCCTCGACCGTGTCTCCCGCATTTCCCGCAACTCATCCCCCTCACCCCCCCCCCGC